CATATAACAGCTCTTTTTTTTCTTTCTTCAGATAACTCGGAAGACGAAAGATGAACCTGAAATTCACTGAACAAGGGTCCCAGTCCGTAAGCGCTTGAAGAGCTTCAACTTGGTGAAGTTTCCCGCGACGCCTTAAGGCTCCCTTGAAAGAATACGTGATCAAAGTTCTTATGGTTATTGAGACGAGGTCAAGTTTATTTAACTTTAAACCAAGCTTACGTCTTACTCGTACATGTACACTATGACTGTGCATTAACTCTGAGACCCTATTCTTGAGTGCTAGCTGAATCTAAGTGCAAAATTAAGTTTTAGTTTACTATGTTTCGCTTAAATTTTAAGAGAAATTAGGCATATATTTCTTCCGCTTGACTAGAGCTCAACTGACTAGGAAGGGGGGGGGGCAGGGAAAAGCTTCTAATATTGCCTGAATACAAATGCATTTTGGTCTCGAAGTCTGCCGAAGGAGGGGAGTGAGTTTGTTACGAGGGCCAAGGTGCGAAATAGGCGAGATAATTATGAGTGCTTTTCGAGATGGACCCAGGATGATTCATCGGTTTCGAGGTGGGAATACAGCATTGGTGTTTTTTTCTTTAAAATTGGGTCATGTGTCTCTTATCTCAGATTGATTGGGTGAGAAAGAGCGGCGGAGATTCGGGGGAAAAGCATAAGCTTTCCTTATCTGCGAGATGGGAATTTTTGCGCCGCTGTTTGTCGACATCGATGTTGCGCGTTCAGCTTATACGTGCAACGCGGATACGTTTGAAGGGCCATTTCCATACGGGTCCAAGATTGGCACAATCCGCACACCGCAGGGAAAGTAATGAATTGATAAATTTGCCTGGCAAACCGACGACACCATGACTCATAATGCCTTCCAATTGAAGCCTTTCTGTGCCATCAAGTTTGAACAGTTGAATAAATAAAATGCAAGTTGCAAGCTGTAGAAGGAAAAGAAACGTGAGAGACACGCTAGTCTGTCTTTCGTATAGGGATTTGTTTGGGCGAACACGACCGAAACTCGAGACAGATCCACCATAACCATCTTTGATGTGACAGAATTTATCGCCTCGACTCCGGCGCGATACTGCGAAAAATACACTATACTGCCGAAAGTCGAGCTTCCCCCTTGCAAATATTGACATCGTGCAGCGTCATCGCACGTGGCTGTGGTTGCGTCAAGCCTGTTCATGGTCTCATGGCAACAGGACGGAACTGCGTCCGAACTGGATTTAGTAGCCGAAGGGCTATTCGATCGGAAGGGCAGCTGGCAACTGGCACCGAGCCACGGCAGGATTCCTGGAACTCCCTTGCAGCAAAGCACCTCATGCGAAAACACGATGGAAGAAGACTCGTGAAAGCGGCGGCGACCTTACCCCCCGTCGGACTTCACATTCATGCTGTCATCGATGGCAAGGGAGGGGGGGGCAACGCCGTCCACTGCGTCTTCACGGGGTTTTCGCCTTTGGCAAGATTGTGGAGGGTGTTGGGGGGAGGGGAAAGAATCGAAATGGTCAGTCACAAAGGAAAAATCATGTGAAGCACAGATGTATCACTTGGAGCGTAGTCATTATTCAAATTTGAAAAGATAATCGTGTCATTACACGCTGTTTTGGATGTCGGGTGTGATCTACGAACAAGCAGGCGTGAATGCCGTTGTCAAAAGGTAGTCAAGAATTTTTTAAATATTGATTTTAAATACAAAACCTACGTAGTACCATGTAGAAAGCCTCACTGCGCCACAGAAAAAGAAACTCCAGTATTGCTGCAGCAGATTACTGGGTACGTGACCACGCCTATCCATGGAAGCGAAGAATGCGTTGGAATTTCCAACACACTGAAATGTTTGAGAACCCCTACGCATGCACCTAAGTGCGACATGCGTAGCTAAAGCACCGCCTGCCTTCCTATTCTTGCCAAGAATTTGCTTCGTGTCGCTCCCGCCTCGTCAACACAGGAGGGGCAGTGCCCTGCTTTACCAAGACTTCCTGCTTTTGCAAGCATCGAATAGCTCTCTCCTCCGTCCTAATTAGAGCATACAATTTGCGATCCAACATCTTGAATGCCTGGTTGGTACCAAGTCCAAGCAAGTAAATTGGTTACAAATTAGCTACTTCAAATTACACTGAAAGGTGAAAGGCAAGAAAAACTAATTTTCGTTTTTTATTCCCCGTTTCTTGATTTTCGCTTCCGTTTCTGACACGTTTGAGATTTCCTGGAAGAGAGGATGGAAATAATACAGTGCTTGGAAAAACCGAAGCGACTCGAACCCTCTTGTGCCTCTAAATGCATCAATACATCAAATTAAGGAAATTTCGATGGGTCCATAGGTCGCCAATTGTCAAAAGGTCGCCACGCCTGTTCCCGAGTCCGCTGACACCTCTATGCCTTTTCGATGAATAAATAAATAAACGGCATCAAGTGGAAAAATGCTGAAACAAAATGAAATTGCCGCTAAACTTTGCTCAATTTAATTGTTGTTTGACGCAGAAACACCGTTGAACCATTGATCATCTGGCTCCAGGGCGAGCAAAAACCGCAACTAATTTGGTCGTAATTTGCAGTCGTGCATTCGGTTTCACTGCTGTCAGGTTGGATTTGGCCCATGCTGTTCCGATGGCACGGTCTGCACTGGGCTGGTACGATGGCCGAGAAAAAACGTGAAAATTAATTTGAAAAGAGACAGTTGAGGTTTCTTGTAACTGAGGATGAACACACTGGGTTATATATCTTTCCTATTCGCTTGATTTCGACTTTGTTTGTTATTGTTATTATCATTATTAAGTTTTTTTTTGCTGCGATTTGAAAGACTGGATGGTGGACTGAGAAAAGTGCGGTAATGAAAAATAATTTCCACAAAATTCCCTCCACCTAATTTTTCTGCATTGCACCGATACTAAATCGACAGCGTGGGACATAAATATTCACACCAAATCGAAGTCTCGTATTTCCTGCACTAATAACTTCTCATGGAATCGGTCGAACCTCAACAACACACAAGGGCTCACAGTAACTATTAACTATTCTAGTATTAACTAAACTAGTAACTATTCACAGTAACTATTGTCCGACGTGTCCCGTTCATCTTGACGGCAACCTGGAACCTTCGAGTCGGTCGGTCGATCGCACCCGACGGACGTGGTTTCGCTTCTCTTCCGGCGCGAAACCCTGACTGGTTCGGGTCGCTGGATTTCGATTATGGGCACTTGCTTCCAGCTGGATTCGCATGCAGTGATCGGTTTGGTTACGGTCGGAGTTGTATGGGGGTCGTGGTCAGCCAGACGGTTTTTTGAACGTGATGCCATTTATAGGCGGAGAAGGATTCGTGTTGAAACAGCCATGGTTCATCACCAAAGGGACACTCACATAGAGATATAAAACTTTTTTTATTTGCTGTTTTTAGGCGTACAGAAAAAGAAAAGTTACAAGCGGTGATGACTATTCATGGCCCATCCTGTTGACTAAGTAAGGGATCCACTATCACTATCATCTGATGCTTTTTGCAAAACTTCATTTTGATACATTTAAATGATAGATGTAACATTTGATTTATCTGACTTATGTTAATTATTAAATTTGATTTCAATTGATCACTTCTTGAATTCCCATTTTGGACGATTTTTGCGTTAGTAACGCTGGAAAACTCTCCTAGCCATTAAAATTTTTATCAACAACAAATGTAATTTGGCACGAAGAAAGGCGACGGTTGACGCCTTCTTTCTTCAAAATATGGGAAGCTCAACGCCAAGCCAAATCGGACTGGATCGGAATGGAAGCAGCAGAATGATAATGGCCGTTTAAGTCACGTTACGTCAGTAACAGGAAGTGAATATCCTCAATTTTCTTCCTCCATGGGAAAAATGAGATATTTTCGGCTAGAATAAGCGCAAGTATTGTTGGTGTTAAGTAGGGTTCCCACCCGTTCATAATTAGTATGGACAGTACTTATTTCAGATAAGTCCGTAAAACTCTTCTTTTTTTTCTTTTTTTTACAGCAAACTTGTCTTAGTAGGGACACTGCTTCATCCATGCATTAAACTAGCTGAGATATTTTTAGTTAATAAAGCTTAATAGCAGCTAAAATCACTCTTTTCTACAAGTCAGAGTAGTAGCCCACAATCGAATAGCATCAATTGGTACTTTGACTGAAGGTAGGTATTAAAAGTGTGGATGGGAAAGTCACACACGCAAGTATACTTCGAATATATGTCAATATTTCCATATGTTCACAGTCCATATGTCCACATTTTGTTAATTTCAAAGGTTAAGTGTTAAGGTAGTTTTTGAGTAGAATTTCTGGACCAAACCTCATTCAAGTTTCAAAGTATGCCTTCATACTTGTTTCATTTGAGCCGGTGTTACATCAGTAACTGAAACCGCCCGAGACAGTTCGGGAACATTCTGGATCGCCGGCATCATGGACGACGCGCGTGAATCAGCGAGAAAACTTGCAAGTCACAGCACGTGATGGTGAATCGATGGCGATTGAATGCGGGCTGCACGGAGACGGGATGGCGCATGCGCGATGGTGCATGTCACCTCCACGTGATCGTGTTTTTCTGCTGCGTCATTGTCTGCAGTAGAGGAGTGTGCGTTGGGGATTGCATCAGTCGAGGTTTTCGCTGCGGCGCTGCTTGTCGCTTCTTGTTTCGGGGTATGACTGGCACGATTGACCAGGGGTTCTGGAACGTTCCAGCGTATTCCAGAAGTTCATTTCGTTTGCGTGCCGGTGCATGACAGGGTAAGAGCCCTTATAAAAACTTCGCGAACGAGCATCTCACTCAGTTGGTGTCAGTGGTACACTCTTCGGCCTACGCTTCGTGCTTCACTCTTGGCTGGTTTGTGTTTGGTTCTCGTGTTTCACTCGGTTTGTCTCTCTCCCTGCTCTTCTGTGTTTATTTCGTGACTTGCCTGGACGTTTAGACCGAGGCAGTGACTTTGGCCTCGGCCTTAGCATATCCTACCCTTGTTGATTCTTTACGGTAGGATCATTGTACAAGTATTTTCTTTCAAGATTCATATTGCCTTGCTTGAAGTTATTGATGTGCTAGGTTCAAACCTAGGTTTATGCATAAGATGTTGGAAAACATTGGTTGAAGTAGGTTTGGTGAACTTGAATTATTCATGTATCATCTGGTTTCATATGGATACACCAGCCAATACTATTCTCTTGTTCTCAGCTGTTTCCATATCTTTCTTATTTCACTAGGTTTCAAAAGTGAAAAGCCTATACTTGAATTTGAGAGCTAAGAAAGAATGGAACAAGGAAAGTCATTGGGCGTGAAGGCATTTTTGAAGAGAAGTGGAGAGACAACTGAAGTTCGTAGATTCACAGTTGACCAGGATGTTGCTGCCAACTATGTATATTTGCAAGGAAAGGTTCGGGCTGTGTTCCCCTGCCTGCAACGCTCTGATTTCACTGTGACATGGATTGGTGAGTTATCCTAGGCCTACCCATGCGTCTTTACATAGGCCTGAGCTCACTCACTCATGATTGTGGTTCTTCATCACAGACAAAGAAGGAGATGACATCACTATTTCCTGTGATGAGGAACTCCAAGAGGCCATCATGGAGACCATGAATGTGGGAGGGTCAGAATTCTTCAAGCTGAATGTTCATGCAGATGCAAAACCCACTCAAACCAAAGATGGTTAGTCAAAACAGCAGTTCTGTAGTTGAATTTCTATGCCCCTGTTTGATATTTTCTTATCAATTTAAATCTATGGTTTCAATTAAAGAATATAATGATTTAGTCCTTCATATTTACAATGTTTTCATCTTGAAATCAATTTTAAAGTTTTTAATAGCCGAGATGACAAAGATGTTTTTTTGTGATATGCAGGAGAAGTTCATGAAGGTGTTGTTTGTGATGGATGTGAGGGCCCTGTGAAGGGTTTTCGTTACAAATGCCTTCAGTGCCATGATTATGACCTTTGTGGAGGCTGTGAGATGACTGGAAAGAAGCATGCTGCTCATCATATGATTCGGATCCCTTCTCCTGAGGATGTTAGTCACTTTTCACTGGACACTATAAGAAGTTCAATTATTATGGATTTCTTAGACAACTCAACTGCTATTTTGTTTCTTTTTACCCATTTCTAAAATGTCAATATATATTTGCTCTCCTGTTTTAGTGTCCAGGGCGATGGGGTAGGGGGTGGCGGCGTCGCTTCCGACATGCTCCCATGTTTGGCTTCTGGGGTGATCATCATGGCAGGGGTTTCCGTGGAGGCAGAAGGTGCAATATGCCACCACCACCTCCAATCTGGGAAGGAGCAGGAGAGATAGGACGCATGGCCAAGGAATTCACCCGTCATCTGTGGTCTGCACTTGGTGGTTACCCAATGCCTGAAGGAGAGGGAGAACAGCAAGGTCCAAATCAGGCTCCTCCACCTCCTCCTCCGCCTCCCCCCACTGAAGAGGAACGTAAGAAGAAAGTTGATGAATGGCAAAAGGAGTTTGGGGAATGGATGACCCGCATGCAAGAACAATATGGGAACGTGATGGGAACTGAGGGACAAGAAGCCCGAGATTATCTACAGAATGTGGGGGAATGTGTTGCTGACATGCTATCCCACCTTGGTAAGTTTTGGGAAATCTTTAATTTTATCCTGTGTCTATTCATGGAGACCTGGTGGTACATATTGCTACATATGAACTATGCCAACTTAGCAGCACTTTTTGGAGATGGTGGTTGTATAAAGAATAGATGTGCTGTATATTGCTCAAGCCCCTAATAAATCAAAGTTATGATGGAACATGGATTAATAGGGGATTTAGGAAGTTCTCTAACCATATGGGGTAAAAGGACTGAAAAGAGAAAGGGGTTCATAGCAGGGAAGGTTATATGGAAATTCAGTCTCAGGAGGCACTTATTAGTTTTGGTCCTCCTGTGCTTTATGGCTTGTTCAGGTATTCTGTGAGGCTACATAAAAGTATCCACTCCCCCACACTAATGTAAATTTATTCCCAGTTTTTTTCTTGCCTATGCAGGGATTGATACAGAAGTGGATGTTGTGACTGGTGACAAGCTGAAACGATGTGGCGGTCAATGTCCGACTGCCAAATCCTCTGCCTCAAATGACCAAGAAATGGATGCTGAATCTGGGGTAGAGAAGGACTCTGCTAGTGCTGCTCAAGGCGAGAAGGAAAAGGACAAGAATGTGACTGATGCTGGGGTGAGGGATAAGTCTCCTGATGAGAAGGAATCTGGATGGACCTTTGTCAGGAAGGATGGTGAGAACATCTGGACCCTTTTTTTTTCCAAGTTGCTTATCAATTGTGGCATGTTGATGTTTTTGCTATTATTTCAGCTGAAGGTGATGGAGGTGCTCGACCAAAGACCCCTCCTGGTGCATCTGCTGATCCTCAGCCGAGCATCAGTGCCACAGACTCGACTATTTATCCCAGTCTTTCTGGGATCCCATTGCAGCCATCCCACCCCAGTAAGTATTGCATCTGAGTCAGCTACAGAGATTTGAACATTCTTGTTGTCATCATTGAGGTCTTTATTTGCAGATCCAAAGGTAGCCCACAGTCTTGGTCTGATGTTGATGATGGGATTCACCAACGAAGGTGGCTGGCTCACTCGACTGCTAGAAGAGAAAGATGGAGACATTGGCAAGGTTTTGGATGTCATTCAACCCTTCAAGAGGACTCCTGCTCCTCTCATGTCTTTTGATTAGATTGGCTTGGATGTGTATTGTATATTGAAATGGATGACACCTTATCCCATGTACACTCCATCTTTTATCTTTCACTTTGTGAATGTGTGTGATAGAAGTCTGTGATTGAATGAATCATGAATAATTTCTTATTTCAGGTTTTTTTTAAAGTTTTTTTGTTTTTCTTTATAGATTCCCACTGGCACATATCAGGATATGTTCCAGTTTATATAAAATGTTGCACACTGTCTTCTTGTGTACCTGTAATCTCAACTTGTCTACTGTATTTTACTGGGGAAATGACATTGTAGAAGGAATAAAGATGGTGAAAGATGCAGGACAAACCCTGGATATTTTTTTGCTGTCAGCCTACTCAGGATGACAGATTGGAAGCAAAAAGCATAATTAAGGAGTTAAATTTGCTGTCTCAAATTTGAAATATCAGAAGTGCTTCCTCTGGATGGCAACCTTCAGAAGCCTCCCAAGACTTTCAATAAGGTGAAGGTGTGAGGAGTCTGGCATTCAGTCAGCAAGCTACAGCTCTCCATTAGTTCCGGAAAACTAGACTCGTTGGCAAAATAAAGTACGACCTAGGAGTTCAGCGATCTTAAGTTTAGTTTAAGGGTGTGAGATGAATATTCACAGAAAAATGGCCAAACAATCCAACTTCAATAGCGGCAATGGGGTTATACTAGTCGTCCGATAGGTGGGTTTGCTGATGAAATGTGGCAGGAATATCCTTGAAGTGCAGGAAAATCGCGCAAAACTTCGACGTCATGAGATGAGGTAATACAGAGAAAACTTTCCAAACACCAGAGGTATCGGGGATGATGCCAGTTTCCGTTTTTCTTTCCTTCAAGCCGCTTCGCTTGAGGTACGAGGCAGTGACAAGATGGTATCTCTGGAGGCGATTTCGATCAGTTGTAAGAGTTTCATCGATGTAGGGTGAGTGGGAGGCATGTATCAGCCTGATGCATGGTAGGCATCCTAATTACTCTACATCGATGAAACGCTAACAACTTATTGAAATCGCCTTCAGAGATTTAAGGGAAGTCTGGATCGCAAAATTGGTATGAGGGCAAAAAAGTGTAATCGGTTCTAGTGAACTTGAAGATCTCCGGTATGAGCATCACTGGGTCTGCCCTCATCTCGGCAGATCCCCATCCCTCTCATTCGTCTCCAATGGGAAGGGGCAAAAGTGACGCAACGCCTGGCCCCCTTCCCAGCCCAGCACACGGCCACCGTAACACCATAGACGGCTTTACCTTTTGTCCTTTCCATAACCAAATGTTGGCAGTCCTAACAAGGAGAAGGCGGGGTTTGTGATACGATGCTCGGGTGTTCTTAAGGATATCAGATTCGCGTTCCACGAAACCACGGACATTGACCCATAGAAACCCAAGCAACGACTATGCGACGTTGCCGCCACGTCATTAGGCTAAAGTCACGTGTTACTGGGGATCCCCGACCCACTCTCGCTGTCGAACAGGAAATGATCTCTCCCGCATCCAGCTGCACCAAACATTCCTATCCGTATTCCTAGGGGAGAATGGTCTTTTCAGTCAGGTCGTTTTTCTTCCTCTTCCTGCTCAGACCCTTACGAAAGCATTTCATGTCGGCTTAAACATAGGCCGTGTGTTTTTCTCCAGCCGCTTACAGCTTCTGGCAAAAAAAGAAAAGTGAACCCTTTTCTGTCAGTGCTCGGCACGACCATCAAATGACGTCACTCTCGGGCAACCAGTAGGTCACAGCGAACAGAGAGCTTTAATCAACCCAGCGCAAATGTGACGTCATGAGGCTCCGTAAGCGTCAGCCGCTTAGAAAAAAGGATATGGAACCCATTCGTTCGTTTGGTTTTGAGCGTGGGTTTTCAAACCTGGGGGTTATCAGCGACCGCAGTAACCGTCCAATCATTTGTTTTGCCTCGGGGTCCTTCACAGACTGGTGAAAGCTTATAAACCTCCCCAAAATCTGAGCCAATTTTACTTTTTAGAGCGCACGTGCCAAACATGAGCTTAATATGCCAAGCTTTAGCTTATTTGCACCCTGACTTATTTTTAGAACACAAATGTGCGACTCCCCCCCCAAAAAAAAACACACACACACACATTTCCCACTTTTAGTGATGAAAGAGCTACTATTCCCGACCAGAGACGAGGAAACCTGACAACATTTAAAGCAGGAAAAAAAACTCATCGAAATGGATGCATCTGAGTCACCTGTAGGAGCAAACGAGAACTAGCAGAACGAGAAGAAATTGGTTCAAGTTGCGTTAACCTAAAGCGAAACTCAAGTTGCGAAATAATTCTTCAGTGTTTTGCGAATGAATTCGTACCACCTTTAACATGGGGCCCATGCTTTTCTATGGAGGAATCCTCTCAACCTGGATGGCGGCGGTGGATTGGAGAACGTTGAGGCCAAGAATAAAGCATAAAAGGATTTGTTTTTGCCTTTCTCGAGGAAAATGATGGGTTGGAATAACAAAGGGTTTACCAGAAGGTTCAGGAAGAGGTGGAACGGGAAATCGCACCAGGGAAAATTTAAGAGAAACGATCAAGTGTTCGTAGAAGGGAGGAAGCATACAGAAGCCGAATACAAGGAAGGGTAACTATGGAACAATGTATCAGGCTTTAGGCCACGTATTCCATCGCACCTACAGATTGTTGAGGATTCTGCTAAATGTGAAAATGTAAATGAAATCAAATACGTCGACGGCCAGAGCTATCTTCAAATACACAGCCCAACATAGACTCGAAGTAGGTCGATTATTTGACATCCAGACCTCGGGACACGAGAGTGAATGACTGCCGAACCTGTTCTTGGCAACGATCTCCGTCTCAACGACTCGTCTATCCTTTCATACGGGCCGAACGACGCCATCTTTGCTATACGGCAGCCCCCAGAGACTGACTGACGCGATATGGCGCTGTGAAGCGGGAGGGAGACATCTATCCTCCGGAATGGAAACAATAGTTGGACCTCCTCTGCCACCGCATTGGATGCTCCATTGAATTGACATGCGCAATGTTAAAGATGGTACGAATTCATTTGCAAATCACTGTACTTATATGATAGTTAACGAGAGGAATACGTTAGGTGACGATATAGTTAAAGAAGTAGAGGTTCCTTATTACCATCTTTGCTATGAGATATTACTGTAAAAATCCATTTCAATTGAAGGCGATGACTTTGAGAGACGTGGGACAGCGTTAGGAATGCCTTGAGGATGTCCGATGCGTTAGGACCTCCTTCTTCGACAGTGATGCTCAAACTCGCCGAGATGCAAGTACCCTCGGTAGTAGTGGGATTGGAATCCCAACCACGCGGTTCCCGTTTACGCTGTCTTCAATGAACAAGCTCAATAAAGATTATTTGGTTACTTGTCTCTCACAACGAATTCTCAATTTTAAGTTAAGGTCCAGACGAGTGGCACCTGGGAAAAGAGTAATTTGTGTTTCCTGCTGGTTCAAAAAGTTCGAGCATCACTGCTCCACTTCATCTTCACCTGCTTGCGGCATTGTCCTCGACGTGCCCTCATCCCCGTTCACGTCTAAGAGAGACATCTTGAACAGGGCGTCTGGTTCAAGTTTTGCAGCGAAACCAGTCGCAAACAAACGTCGGAGAAATTGGCGACAGCTTCTGCATGAGGATTTCCTCGCGACAATCGGAATCGGCCGTCGAGGCCCCTCATACGGACTGCAGCAGTGCATGCGGAAAGTCCATCTCCTCTTATTCCCATTTCTTATCTGTATTCCCCATTTTTATCTCTATTTCCTCATTCTCCTCGCCTTTGCGATCGCCACTCTTCCGTTTGCTGCACTCTTAATGCGCCTGACAGAACGCGGGGAGCGAAGTGGCCGAAGAGGAAAAAAGTTTGATTGTCGAAGTGTCACTTGACCTCAAGATGCTGCCATTTGCAGGCTCTCAAAGCTAGCAGTATTGTACTGGTTCAAATTAAGTAACGTAATTGTGCGAAAAGGGCTGCAATAAATAACATTTATTTTTGATAGTAGTTAACATATTTCTGATGAAGCGGAGTTGAATACTGATATATATATGTGTTTCTGTACAAAATGCCCGAAAATCATCTAGAATCTGTAAAAGTAATATTAGAGCAAAATATATGTGATGTTTATATTTATATTTATATAATTTAACTTGGTAATATTTGATGTTTAATGTTATGTTTATGAAACCGGGGACAAATCGGAAAAAATGTGAGTTTCTTAGGCCATGTATCACATATGATGCGCTTCGAAAGAGTCAGATAGCCCCAAAAGTATGAATCAGGGCATATTCTAATGTGCAGTTCTGAAATATTTGTGCGGCTGAAGAAGAAGAAATACTGTTCTCCCTGAAGAACTGTATTTCCTCGGGCAAGAGATTGGCGGAATGATCCATTTTCTCCATGACATTTTCCTGGTCATGCCGAACACTGAAGACCGCTCGACATTCGCAGAACAAAGTTTCATTGACTGTTTACAATCGTATGACCTGTGTCTATTCTCGGCGAAAAGCGAATTCTCATCCCAGACGATAATGAATGTATAATAATGATAATGAATAATGTTAGGAAACCTTCCTTCTTTCTTGGAGCATTTTGTATTTGGAAATTCCCCCGAAGCCAACGGAGAGCAACTTTCTTGAGCAAGATCGTCCGCTGGCGGGTGTTGGAAGCCGTTTTCAAAAGTTTTTGGTATTTTGCACTTGCATCGTGCTACACACGAGGCCAGAATTCAATGAACCTACTGGGTCTTTCTAGCTTTTCCTCTCTCGTGGAGCAACCACAGAGACAGCAGAATTTCGTTTTATTTTTATTGGGTTGGAAAGAAAGTCTTGCAACACTTTCTGACGAAGCCCTGCGGAACGCCCTCAACGCGAAGCCGAACGCCACCACTCGCGAATCGGCGACTACACTTGGAGTCACCCATATGGCCATCGGCAACCATCCGAACGACCTCGGCTATCGGAAGGTTTACTCGACATGGGTCCCTCATCGGCTCAGCGACTCTGAGCCGTGTCAGTGTCTGCGAATCACTACTCCTTCGTCCGCACAGAAAGGACCTTCTGAAGGAAATCGTTACTGGATGTGAGAGCTGNCAGACTGCCTTTCGGGCACTGGCTCCGTAGGGTGCAGCGGTGCAAAGAGCACAAAGCTTCCAAGAGTTCCCCTCGTGAAAATGGTGGAATCTCTCGAAACTTCCGTCTCGTCCGGAAACTTTCCGAGTGCCCCTCGTACGAATGGACGTGTCTCGGTTCGCATGCAATAAAGTGCATGCCTTTTGGTGAGGAAATGCTTGATAAGATTAGGACCGATTTCGTCTCTCGGCGAATCGAAGAGCCA